CTGACTCCGTGTTTATCTCTGCAGCTCATCTGCCGCTAAGTCTCAAATTATCTTTATCCCCCTGTTCTTATCTTATCTTTTCCTGCTTCTTTTAGTGCTACAAAGGCAGGTCAGTGTGTGTGTGTGTGTGTGTGTGTGTGTGTGTGTGTGTGTGTGTGTGTGTGTGTCCTGGATGGTTATCTTTTACAATCTCTCGGATGATGATCTTCCCATCCATACACCAGACTGCCAGTATATACAGTCAGCGTCTATTTGAAGTTGTAATCCTCTATATTTCCATGAAGTCCAGTCTATCTGATGTTACCTATGCTCAGATTATATATATAAATATATATATTTATTAGTTTTCATTAAATTTTTCCATTTTTAGTTGCATTTTCGCTGTAAACATGAAAAAGATCAGTGAGTAAACGCTGACGTACATGAACATTTAAACGTAACTGGTGTCAGAGAAGAGAAGAAAACAGACGTGTGGAGCGATGATGAGGAGGCTGAAACCTTCCTCACATTAACACAGGAAACCAACAGAAATGTCAGGTGGAGCTTTTTAACTGGATCTCTGTGGAGCTGGATTCAGTTCGTGCCGTAGTCTCACAGAGCCCGACCTGGAGGACGGTCTGTCGGCACCGTTACCATGGAGAAATTAAACACAACAGCTTGTTTTGCTTTTATTTGATGTGTTTTGATTTTAATTCCTTCATTTGATTGTGAAGCAGTTTGTGAAGAGCGTCTGTGAAAAGTGTTGCCTTAAACTCGTCTGGTTGTGGTTAAATGGTTAAAAAATAAATTTATATTTTTTATGTCTGATACATTCAGATTCAGCCTAGACACAGAAACTATAGTGGAAGGTGTCAGTGTTTATGTAATGTTACAGGATTGATGTCAATATGACATCAGCAGGTCTTTTCTTTGTCTATTTTTGCTGGAAGACACGTCACGTGAAAAATAGCCGAGACGCCAACACACCATACACACGCCACGCACACGTCACGCACACACCACGCACACGTCACACACACGCCACGCACACACCACGCACACGTCACGCACACGTCACGCACACACCACGCAGCGAGTGTGTCCCAGGCCTCTTGTTTGTCGTGTGTTTGACAGTTCCTGATTCTCTGAAGAATCCCAGTGGTTTAATGTGTGAATTCATCGTTCGTATGTAAAAGTAGTGGACCTAGAAAATGAAGATTCGATTGCTTTTCTTCACCATCTGTTCACAGGTGACTGATACCTGAGGCCTGGAGCAGGTGTCACTGTTATATATAACAGCCCAGATCAGATGTGTGTGAATAAAGCTGGGGAGAAAATGAGCTTCATGCCCAGTGTCAGATAGTATAAACAGAGCTGTGGCCGAGGCCTGGGCTGATTGATCCGGGAGTAAAGTTGTTGTGAGAGGATCTTTAATGGTGTAATTCCTGCTGCTGCTGCTGCCGCCGAACACAAACAGGCAGGAAACAAATAAGAAAACGGAAACAGAGCGAGAGAGACAGAGGTGGAGAGTCTGACAGACCGTCTGAATGAGACTGGGTAAATGAGAGACACAGAGAGTGGACGAGGGAGACAATAATTACCCCGCTGACTGGGAGGGGGGGGTGGAGGAGACCCACAGGGTGCACTCTGGGTCCTGGTGTAGTTCCTTCAGCAGCTACACAGAGACATTTATATTTTATATTTATAATGATCAAAAAAACCCAATTACTTACATTAATGTTCAAATTACCATGGTAACAAAATAAAAGCTGCTTTGTGTGATTTCGTGTGTAACCTCTGTGTCAATGAAGCTGATGGGGAGAGGAGATAAAGAGGACATGTCTCCTTTATACAAACAAACAGTGGGTTTATAAATAAAAATAGTGAACAGAACTGTCCCTTCTCTGATATTCTTCTCTTACAAGAGAAACTAGAATCACCTCCTCACGGCTGTATCCCTCCGCCAACCTGCCAACTTACAGGAAATGTGTTCACAGTCTCTCTGTCCTGAGTTACAGTGTCGAATAAAGGCCAGAAGTGTTTTGGCAGAACATTATGATGTCACAGGGAAGTTGACCTTTGACCTTTTGGATATAAAATGCCCATTTTATCCTTACAGATGTTTGGGTTCACTTGTGTCATAATTTGGTGAATGAATTCGTGAGTTATGGCCAAAAACAGGTTTTGCGAGGTCACAGTGACCTTTGACCTTTAATCAGTTAAAGTGCAAGAAAGGAAGTTGAGAAAATGAAGGCAGTGGAGCAGTGAACAGTTGAGCTGCTGTGTTTGGCAGCATCAGTGGTGGAGATGCTGTTTCTGGAGAAAAGAACACGACTGATGAAGTGTCCAAAAAAATAAAAAATAAAAAAGGTTTGATCTCAAATCTGAAGCTAAAACGATTATAACACAGAAGAGAGACCGTGACCACTGGAGGGAGAGAGGTTTGCCCAGAGTTATCTGAGCTGCTCCAGCGCCTCGCAGCCATTATCAGTGAGACAGCACAGCCATCAGCTGAGCGTCTGGACTCAGACCTGGGCCCCGTGTCAGCGCTCTGATCTCCTATCTCAGCATCAGAGGGTGAGCTCGGTTCTGCAGAATTAATACAATTAGACGCCAGCAGTTTATCTGCGAGCTGCAGCTGTGAAACAAGGCACGTTTAACATGAGAGCGCCAGTGTGTTGGTTTGTGGTGAAAATTTAACCATCACTTTGGTAATGTAGACTGAGTGAATAGACTGCGACGGTTTGATTTTGATCTTTTCTCCCACAGATGAACTCCCTCTGAGGCGACCAACAGAGAATCTCTTTTATTTTTTAAACTGCGAATTCAAATTCAAAATAGTGCATTTGAACCTCTGTGAGCTGAACTCTGAGCTCTATTAAAGCTGCAGTAACAGGGTTTTTCTTTTTGGCCACTTGGGGGCAGCAGAGGGGAAAAATAAACACAACACTGACGTAATTATTCAGTTTATATGTTGAACTTATGTTGTTACGTGTTACAGATCAACACGGTGATTCACGTGTTGTGGCGTTTGGCAGGAATTCCGTGGCGTTCCCTGACGCAGCGGGGTCGTACGAGTGTTTTACAGAGAGGACGACGGGTGATGTTGTCCATGGTTTTCTTTGAGCTCTGTGTTTGGTCTCCACCGCCTCCTGAGGGAAACATCTGGCTCTGCAGCTGCTAAATGCTGCACTGTGTTCACCGGCTGCTCTCTGACTGAGCAGGTAGAGGACAGAGGCTGATTACAGATGTTTTTTCTGAAGACGTAGACGTACAAATGTAAAAAAATAATTTAACATCAGGTGAAAAACAATCAGATCTGTGCGGAGCAGTGAGGAGGAGGACGCTGGAACCTTCCTCACACTAATACATGAAAAAAACATTAATGTCAGATTTGCACCTTTTGAGTTTTCACTGGAGAATTTGATCCAAGATCCAAAATTTGTTCCTACATTTGGATGGAAACTTGACTGGAGGGAGAGAGAGGCAGCAAAGACACAGGAAGGTTCAGAGAGAGAGAGAGAGAGAGAGAGAGCAGTTGACTTGAGGAGAGAGAGAAACCAGAGAGAACAGGACTCAGCAAAAGGAGAGAGAGAGATGCTTAAAGAGAGAGAGCGAACCAATACGGTACGAGGGAGAGAGACCCTGAGTAAAGAGAGAGAGAGAGAGAGAGCACAGGGGATCCCAATGAGAAAGCTGCAGAGAGAGAGAGGGAAGCTGCATTCAGCTCCTGATCATCACTGAAGGAAACTCACCAACTTACCGACACCTGAACACCACATGAAACCTCTTCAGAGATTTCCCTCTTCTTCTTCTTCTTCTTCTTCTTCCTCCTCCTGCTTTTTATAATTTCTCTCTCTTTTACGAAAGTGATACAGAGTAAGAGACGTGGAAATACCCCCCGAGGAAAAGATGAAGGTTTTATAAACTGCAGATTTACGGAGCTGAAGGAATCCTGAGGTGATTTTAAGGAGGATTTGGAGAGCGACTGACGGTTTCCACCGCGGGGATTACGCAACCCGGAGAAGGAACAATTATAAAGGAGAATAAAAGATCTCTGGAGGCTGACACTGTTTTTGGACACAGGAATGTTTCTATTAAGAGTCTGGACCAAACTGACGTGAGTGTGTGTGTGTGTGTGTGTGTGTGTGTGTGAATGAAAAAGAGAGAAGGGAAAGTTAGGATAACACACACACACACACACACACACATACATGCACATGTCAGATATCATCATGTTCATCATCCATCTCTATCTGCTGCCGTCGCATTCTCACAGGTGCAGGGACGAGCTCAGACAAGACAACAAGGTTTTTCACACACGTCCCTGAAAGACACACACACCGTAGTTACATGTGTGCAGGTATGTAGTTCAGAGGGGAATCCCACCTTCACACGATACCTCTGAACTCATCGTGACAATCTGCATCAAAGTGACAGAAGCTGAATGTTCTTGTGTGTTTGCATCAGGAAACTCAAAGACCGGAGGTCACGGTTTCTCTGTTTGAAGCGACACATGATGATGATGATGATCCGTAACATCCCGGACTTCGAGGATGAGATTTGATTTTTATTTTCTGAAGTGACTGAAGACGTGAGTTAAAATCAGTCCAACGTTTGGTTTGGAATATTTCACCCGGAGACAAACGGGATCACTTGTTTCTGCTGTGTATTTTTCCCGAGGCTGTGCACACGGCGACGGCGTCCTTTGAGACTAAACAGCTGCTCTTTTTGTTGCACCTAATTCAGCAACGTGTCTGTTTCTGTTTCCCCGCGCGGAGAAGATCATCTGTTGATCCTCTCACAGACAGTTCAAGGCCGGAGAGTTTTCCTCCGAGACGATGGAGTGAACGAGAGATGGGACGTATCGCGTTACGATCCGTTACTCGAGTGATTCACCTGGACAGCGGAGCGGGAGAGCGACTCAACCATGACCAGACTTTTCCTCGCTCTTGTTTTACTCTGACCCGTTTTTCCAGGCAGCGCTCCTGAGGCGTTTGTGCGTCCACCAAGCTGACGCCATGAACCTGCGCGGTGGCAACGTGTCGGAGTTGATCACTAATGTCGTCAGAGCCGCCGCCGCTCCGGAGGCCAACCCCTGGCCTCCACGTGGACTTGAGGAAAGCACCCTACGGGTCAATAACGGGACAAACCCGGGGTGTCAAGGAAACGACGCGCTCCACAATGGCATCGACGCGCAGCTGGGGAACTGGTCTTTCCGTGAAGCCGGCGAGGAGGGGGCCGGCAGGATTTACGAGTCTCAGTGTCCTCCCCAAGAGATGGCGGCGGAGAAGAACTGGGCAGCGCTGCTGATCCTAGTCGTCATCGCCGTCACGGTCATGGGCAACATCCTGGTGATCCTGGCGGTCTCCCTGGAGAAGAAGCTGCAGAACGCCACCAACTATTTCCTGATGTCACTGGCGGTCGCTGACATGCTCCTGGGCATCCTGGTCATGCCGGTCTCCATGGTGACCATCCTCTACGGTAAGCACCGAGCGACACTGATATCGGGCTTCATTGAATTGACTCTCTGGTTTAGATCTGTGGCCACTTCAGGACTGATGCACGAGTGTGTGACGGTGCTGCAGGACAGAGAGAGAGCAGCAGTGATGGAGGTGTTGAGGGTTGTTGACAGTGATGTGTTTTATGAAAGTCTGTGCAGGGATGAATTGAAAGGAGCCCTTTAGGACAATAATGCAGCTGCTGTATCAGCAGCTTTAAAACTAACTTCAATGCAAATATTCAGCCGGGTCCAAAAAGGTCTGAAGCGGCGTCTGATTGGAAACGTGATCTCCGACTTTTGGAGCTGTGTGTGGAAATAAAACAGAAAGCAATTAAAGAAGGATGGAAAACATTTCCATTTTACACAGAGATAGAACAGGGCCGGATTCACCTGTTGGGGGGGGCGGGGGCAGGCACTTCCTGTTGGGACTCCCCAGCCCACCACCTGTGTGTGGAGTGTATTTCTCCTCCAAGGTCCCTTCACTCACATGTCACACTACTATTATTTGATCAAACTTTATTTAAACCTACACACGAGGTGAATTCAGAAAGTTAAGGAGGAACCTTTGCACTCAGGTGTTGGATTTAGATTCGACACGTCGTCTGTAACATCTGTAACATCTGCAACAGCCTTTACAGTCCGCATACTTGGCGCCCAACGATTTTGAAATGAGAAAACCAAAATCGGGGAAAAAGCTCGTTTCCATTTAGAAATAGAGGAACAAATGATGTGATTATTATAAATGGAAATTGGGAAAAGAAATACCTGTGTGGAAATCTCAATTTTCCGAGTTATATTAAAAAAGTAAAAAATAAAGTAGAGGTGAAATGAAAAAGGGGTTTGTGGGAGCTCATCAGAGCGGCACAGATGGATGATGACGTGTTTCTCCTTCTGTATACTTTCTCTGTTGACACTGAAGCGCCGCTATTCGCCACGATCTGACAGCTTCATACTGATGTTGTAGATTGTGTAAGTCTCATCTCGCACAGTGTGACACGCTGTAACACACACTCACACACGACTGGTGTCATCAGCTCAGTAAGATACTCCCAAGATGCTTTGCGCTCAGCTAACAGAGGTGATACCTCATAAGCTGCTTTTTGGCTATATTGTTATTTGCTCTATTGTTTAAATTCTATTATTGTCTATTCTCTCTTTCTAAGGATTTGTTAGTGGCAGTTACTTTCCCCAGTGTGGGACTAGTAAAGGAATATCTTATCTTAAAGTTTTATTAACTTTCCACAAACTGATATTGAACCTGATAATATATTTACTTCACTAAAATGTTCAGATCAATCAGTTTCTTAAATTGGCCTTTGATTATGTTCTAATAACGGATTACTCACCGACCTCTGATCTGCGGCTACGCTAACTGCTCCGCTTTGACTTAAATGCTAACATCAAGCTAACAGTCACGTTTAGCTGGACACAGTGAGTGAGAACTTTCACTAACTTCAGTGTCTGTCACTCCATGTAACATTTGGAAAGATATTTCAGTCTGAACGTCTCGTGTTAAAGCGAGGGGAGGAGTCAGGAGATCGCCAGCAGCGCTCGTCCTCTGGGGAACATAAACGTCAGTATGAAATTTCACGGAGGTTGAGATAGACAGTGTTTCAGTGTGGACCTGGCTCGAGCAGCTGACGCCGCCCTCCCCAGAGGGTAATAAATCTTGGAGGTATGAATACGGGGGGGGGGGGGGGGTTCTGCCCTCCACTCTGTATCTGAACGCCGCTGTCATTCAGGTGGCTGCTGATTTATGCTTCACTCTGTGAGCTTCAGGAAGTCGCCTCTCTCCTCTGCTCTCCCTCATTTTCTGTGTTTATCTGTCTGTCAATGCCCCCACACACACACACACACACACACACACACACAGCCGCTGATAACCCTGTCACACACACACACCTTCCACCGTCCGTCACTGTTGCCCATTTCCAGCTGATCCTCGCTTCCCTCTGTGTCTCTGTAAATGTCATGCACCGCTGCTCTCATAAGAAGCTTTAAGCCCTAAGTAGCAAATTCATTTGCATGAGGACGAGCACGGTAAATTAGTCAGCAGGAAGAGCGCCAGCAGGAAGAGCGCCTCCGAAAAGAACGACCCCCAGCGCTTATGACTCGCCTTCCCCCCCCCGTCTTTAATGAGGAGACAAAAGAACTCATTAGTGGCGCCCGCGCCAAACATAAACACACGCTGCAATTACTTCCTGGTTGTTGTTACACTGATTCATTCGGCGACTGGGAGAGCAAACACGGCATTGTCACAGGGTGAGAGGGCAGAACGATGATATCACAGAGAGGGAGGTCAGGGGCGAAGGGTGGACGGGGTTATTATTGAAGCTAAAGAGAAGATCACGGGCGAGATGGAGAAACAGGGCTGTGGCTGGTTATTAATGAGGTCGTGGATTAGTTTTGTGTTTGTGAAGATTGGATTATCAATGGGGTCATTAATGAGGTCACAGGTGATCACTGTTATACATGAGACTGGGTGAGATGATTAACGACATGATAATATTATAACTATGATGGATTGTGTTGAACCAGCAGTAAGACAAGCAACTGATACTGATGAAATATTTACTAATGCTTTCTAGAAAAGTTCTACTCCATTAATAATAACAACCTTTGGGTTGCCAGGTTGCGATAAATCCTCCTCCAGCACAACACTTTGTCTTTTTATCTTTTTAATTCATTAGTGAGGCGTCTCCGATGGACCATTTATCTTCTAGAAAAATGGCTGCAGGACACCTGGACTAAAACCCATTAAAGTTGCATCCAGTCTGCAGGTCTCTGTCCATGTGTAGTGTGATTATAGATCAGCTCTAGCTTCTATATTAATACTGTGAAAGTATCAAAGCCTCAGTCCACAGAGAAATGCACACAGCCTGTATTCAGAAACTGAGCCTTAAAACCAGCCGTCAGGACTTCTGGAACTTTGTGATGTCACAACAAAGCAGTCACCAAGCCCCGCCCACCTGGACCCACCATCCAAACCTTGCAGGATTTGGTTTCTCTGAGTGTTTTTAGGCTAAATCTGCTATATTTTTATTATGTTACTCAGAAAACAGTCAGCCAATCAGAAGAGAGGCTCAGAGCCTCCTCTCTTCTGATTGGCTGAACTTTAAATCCTGTTTCCCGTAGTTTTAGTAGAAACAACAGTAGACATGATTCACTTTGTTCCAGACTGAAATTTCACAACATCTTTTGGATGGAAAACTTCAGGTGTGCTTTGTGTTTGATGCTAACAACACGCTAATACCTGCTAAACATCAGCATGTTAGCATTATCATGAAGCCCCTCACGGAGCTGCTAGCATGGCTGTAGACGCTTAAACACATCTTGTCCAACAAGGACCACAGACACCAGCTATGAGTTTTTCATCACTTCATAATGAGTGTAAGTTTTTTGCTGAAGCTTCCAGGGTGATTCTCTTTTCCCTGTCGATGTGTCGTCATATATCTGAGCTGAGTTGCTGTTTCCCACTCAGCGTTTGGCCGGTAAACTGATAAATATCTGCTGATAGGTTGCGGATGATGTGTTTGTCCTGTCTGCCCACTTTGGCGGGAGGCCCAGTAATGATTTGGAAATCCTGTTCGACTAACAAATCTATTAGGCTAAAACAAATATCCCGAGTGTCCTGGGAAATTTGGGATTAAGTCGGCAGCGGGGCTGAGTGGACACTGTGGACGGAGCTTGTTTCATGTCTATTATACATGAAAGGCAAATAACCTTTTCCTCGCTGTGAAGTTTTAATTGTGTGTCTCCTCGTCCGCGCCTTGTTTTCTTCTTCCATCCTCCAGAGATGAGCTGTCATAATAAACTCGACAGACTGAGGCGCTTCCTCACCTCGCACGATCCTCCTGACGCTGCTCTCAGCGCTTTAAACAGCTTGAATAACTGAAGGGTTTCACATGACTGGAACTTGCACCCATGATAGTTGAAGTTGTAGAGTTAAGGGCCTTGATTTAATTATCTATCATCAAAAAATATATATATAGAAAATGATGGTCATTGCCTCTTTTAACAGATGGCTCCTGCATAATTTTGGACATTTCTTTGAAGAAAATGCAGAGACGTTCATTTTCCCCAAGGAGATTGACAGCACTTTGAAATCTGTTCGTTTTAAGGTGAGTTAGACTCTGACCTTGTCACCATACGGCAGATTTAGATGGTAACATTAAGATGATTTTGGTAATTTATCACATTTGTGGCACTTACTGGCAAATCAGAGCGGCAGAAATAATCTGTGTGAGCCGAGTTAAAGTTACTGCAGTGTGAAAATGTTTGGATCCAGAGAACTGACAGAATCCTTCAGAGAAACTTAGTTAATTGGCAAACTTGAATATTAAACAGGGAACTCACAAATAGAAACATAGTAGTAAAACCTCTTTAAGCCGTCCCTCCAGAAAGTCACAATGTCAGAACAATTAACGCAAATTCAACCAATCTCTTCACATTTTTTGTCCAATAGCCACAATTTTTCCACATCATCATAGTTTCCCACGAGTTGAACCAATCGGACCACTCCCTCCGCAAAACCCTGATGTACGTCACCAAACTCACTTCCTTCTGGTTCTGGTTCCTTTCTGGTGTTGATGCATGTTGTGAAGCTGCCGACGTGTGCGACATGAACGTCTCACATTTACCAACAAACATCACTGTTAAAGACCGTGTGAAGCGATTCCCCCGATGTTCTGCACGATGAAGGCTTAAATAGTTTTGTAACGCTGCAACAGAAGCAAAGATGTAGAGCTGCCGGAACGACGCTCCGCTCTGTTTTTATTCTCCCGATGAAATAAAATATCTACAGTTCACGTAATCCATTTAAAACGCTTGAAGATCCGATCATCACTAAAGAGTCCGTCGTGAAGAGAGCCGATAAAAACAAATGAAACGGTCAAAGTTGTCATATTGACATTTAAGGTGTATCGATTGATTTCCAAATGTCAATCAAGCATCAAGTAACACTCAAGAAAACATTCCACCT